TACTTCCAGCTCATTTGCCTCAGTCACTTTATCTCATCTCTGGACATGTGCAGATATGGTCATCTGCTTCTGTTTTTTGGGCATATTCAGGAGTTATCTGTGGCCTTAATACTTAGATGGGTGTGTATTTTGGTAAAAGTATGCTTTCTGATTGCCTCCAGGTAGATGTGATCAGGAAATGGGCTTCCTTTTCACTCTTCTTCTTGAGAAATTTCAGGATGCCACTGTTGGTTGTTTTGACATAATTTAAATTTCAGCCTATTTCCTTTTTTGTCTGCTTGTCCCACTCCACAATCTCTGTTCAGGCCTTTTTTCTAGTTGTAAACTGTTCAGGGCCGGCTGTGGCCATTTGGTTTTAATTGGAAACTGTCTCTTTAAATTTCAAGGAGATCTGTGTGCATGCGTAGTAGAATCCAAGTGTGGGGCTGGGGTGTCACTAGCTCAGGCACCACTATAGTCACCCAAATGGAGGTATGCAGTCAGCAAGGGACCAATGAACAGATACCAAAAGAGAAGAATGTCTACACCTTTATCTCTGTGGTTCTGCCAGGCATCTGTGTCCGCTCCGATCCTTCCCCTGCTTGGTCTCAACCAAGATGGTGGCTCCTGGAGCAGCTGAGCATTCCGAACTAGAGAGCAATGGGTTTCTTGCGTCTGCCACAAATTCCCCCAGCTGTAAGCCTTCCAACCTTCTAAATATTCCTTTATATGTGGTTCAGAGTTCTGGGACCATTCCCTGAGCCTGCTTGGTTGGGTATTCTGTGTTGTTGCTGGTGGAGCTCTTTCCTACACGTCCACTCGATCCGCCATTTTGTTTGTTCTCAAAAAGCTTTTTTGATATTGAAGAAAACAGTGAAAAACATCAATTATTTTGTGTGCTGTGCTGGGAGTGGGTGTGGAGTCAGAATAACGTGATGCAGCTGTTTTACGTTTGTGGAACACCTGGCCACCTGCATGCCTGTTTTGTAGATAGGTTATCATTGTGTCAATATCATTTTGTTTTCTGATGATTTTCTCGAGCCATTCTAGCATAAGCAATTTTTGCATGTTTCTGCCTTGTATTCATACTATTTTTAAGGGCTTTATTCTGTTCTATTACAATGATTATCAGTTTTGGTATTCAAAAAAAATGGGGCCTTCAGTGATGTCCAAGTATTGTTTCCTTTTTTTGTCCTAATAGACTTTAACTTTTGTTCTTAAAAGTAAGTTGTTGTTAATTGCCTTCAAGTCGGTTCTGACTCATAGTGACCCTATATAGGAACAGCTGGTGTGTTTCAGTGGTGGACCTTGTGCTTAGCAGTCCAGTGCTTATCCTACAACACCATACCAGCAAACTAATTAGGGAGAAATAACCTTCAAGACCTACATAAATGTAAAAAATAGAATTTCCCTCTACTTTCTGTCCCATCCCTCAGGCATAGTTTTTCTTACAGACTTTTTCTGTTCATATACAAGTTGTACGTGTGTGTGGTGCAGAATGGCTCACTCTTACACCTACAAATGTGTTTATTGCTCACACACAAGTAGGACCTTACTATGTTTTTGTTTTGCAGGGTGGTTTTTCCTTTTTTCATTTGACAATACCATCAGTGTCTTTTCCCTACCAGAAAATACAGACCTAGCTCATTCCATTTAATGACAATGTCATATCCCCAAAATTACTCTTATCATAATTTATTTAATGTTTCCAATACTGAGGGGTACTTACAGATAGTCTCTCCACCTTTTCAGAAGTTAATTTTCTTAATAACACTGAAAATATATACTACATTTAGCAAGCAAGTTTTTCTTGTTATAAATGTCAACATATTTGAAATTATTTCCATAATAATACCATTGTTAACACTTGTAGTCCAGTGTTTTCTTAAGTAAGAGATAACAGTAGTTAATAATTGTGGCACTTTATTTCTCTGAAAAAAATATTTCTGAGTTAGAGGGATGGAATATATACATATATGTGAGGGAGCGTCAAAAACTTGTGGCAAAAATGAAATGGGAAGATAATGGAATTTTTCCACAAACTTTATGAAGGCCCCTCATTTTTTGTGTGTTTGTGTGTGTGTATATATATTGCTATTAAGTGCCATTGAGTTGATTCCGACTCACAGCAGCCCTATGCAGGGTTTCTGAGGCTTTAAATCTTTACATGAGCCAGAAGCCTCATCTTTTCCCCACAAAGTGGCTTGTGGGATTGAACCAAGGACCTTGGGGTTAGCATTCCAGGGCTTATCCTACAGAGCCACTGCGCTCCATAGTTAATATATTTTTACAGTTATTATTTAATGCTCAAATGACTCTGGTGGCACAGTGTTTAAGTTTTTGGCTGCTAAGGCCATTGGAACCTACCAGCCACTCCTCAGAAGGAAGACATGGCAGGAGCTTACATAAAGATTTACAACCTCCTTGGAAACCCTATGAGGCAAGCAGTTCTACAAATAGATGTTGTAGCTGTTAAGTGCTGTTGGGTTGATTTGAACTGATAGCAACCCTGTATAGGGTTTCCAATACTGTGCATCTTCGTGGGAACAGAAAACCTTGGTTCTCAGTCTAGTTATTACCATATAGAGCCACCACCCTATTGTATTTATTTATATATATCTGTATATATATCCATACACATGTGCACACTCTATTCCCATGGGAGTAGAGCAATGAGTATCATTCATTCTAAGCTTGAAAGGGAAAATGTTGGGAGCTGCTGTTTTGCTGTGGTAAATGCACTGATTGATTAATTAATTAATATTTTTCTGTATTGCATATTTACTGATAGGTTTTTGACATGGTGATGCTTCTCATCATCTATAGTACCAACGTTCAGACAAAGAAGTACATTGAAAGGGTGCTAAGAAATAAGATTCGATCAGGCTGCCTTCAAGAACAGTTGCTAAAGAGTACGTTCTATACTCATTCCTTGGTAAGTGTCAGAGCATCAGACAGCATTAGTCTGAAGTTACAGAGAGGTCATTTTCTCCTTAACCCAATGCTGGAATTTTGACAATATCTTTCTGGGTATTGTTCTTTAGCAGGGGCCTCAGTTAATTTCAGAACATTGTAGGATTACTACTTACCTTGATTGATGCTGTGATGGTAATAAAACCAACCTATAATTTCTTTTTACCTTTATTTTAACATAGAGACCACAAAATTAGTTTGTGTTGAACTTATTTGACTCAGACCCTGAAATTTCTTCTTATAGGAACTATTTAACTCAGATCTTTCTGATTACGCCCTTGTGCAACTTACATTTTGAATCTTAGGTGGAAGATTGTTGTTAAGTGCTGTTGAGTCAATTCTGACTCAAAGCAACCCTATATAGGGTTTCCAAGGAGCCTTGTGGTTAGTTAGCAGTCCGGTGCTGTTCCTACAGCACCATCCCAGGTCTCCAATTGGAAGACTACAACTCCCACACAATTTCTGTCACAATGGCTAATGATTGGTTCTAGTTTGACCCATTGTGCAAGCCCATGGAGACTTCCTGAATCTTTACTTGCATGTATCATTTTGGCTGTTCTAGTTCTAGCTCTTTGTTTAGCTGTGTAGTTTTGTGTGTTCTATGGCCTTGATAAACTGTTGTTAAGTGCCATTGAGTCAGTTTCAACCCATAGCTACCCTGTTTAGGGTTTCCAAGGAGTCTCTGGTGAACTTGAACCACTGGCCTTTGTTTCAAACTGACCATGCAGTCCAGTGCATTAACCCATAGCTCCACACCAGGACTCCTTTGACAAAGTAGCCTTCTGTATTTTCTAAATAGACTAGAAAACCCCGAGGATAATTGGACCAAAGGAATATTTGTAGAGACCAGAGTTTCCCTCTGTTGAAACATCATTTTTGACCACTCAACGCTGTGAACCTTAACTCATATTCCTCTTGAAATTGAAATCACTCCAATTGGAATTTTGTAAACTTGGAATAGTGTTCTGCTAATTCAGGACATTAAGAGCTAGAATTTAGAAAACTGGATGGACTAGGGGTTTGAGGCTTGACTTGCGATCTAAGAAAATATATAGTTGGGTCTTAAGATTTTCTATTTAGAAATAGATTTAATGTTTATATTGTTTTTGTTTTATTTATTTATTTATTGTTTTTAAGCCCTTTTTGTGCTTATCTCTGGCAATGATGTATGTTTCAGTTATAATTCTTCATGTTTAGCTTTTATTGTAATCTCCCCAACAGAGCATTATATCCTGCTTGTTGTTGTGAAGTGCCGTCAAGTCAGTTTTGACCCATAGTGACCCTGTATAGGATTTCCAAGGAGCATCTGGTGTGCTTGAACCACAGACTTTATGGTTCAAACCGACTTTCAGTGCATTAGCCCACAGCACCACACCAGGACGCCATATCCTGCTGATTACTTACATATAAGACAACATATGATTTATTATTGTTGTGATTTCAGTAAAGGAGGTGGACTTAGTAGCTTGTTATTTGCCCTGGGTTCATTAATGTCAATCTTTTGCATTACTAGTAGGACATGACCATCTTCACTACTTGATCTTTAAAAGAAATTAGTTAGTATTGAACTGTATAGACTGATTTGAAATCATAACCAAGGCAGAGCAGGCTCAGTTTATGCCTAGGGAGGCGGTATGATTGAGTGAGAAAATTGAGATTGACAAGATCTGGGTTCTAGTCTCCACACAGGCAGATAGAAACAGCGCTATTAGTCGTATAATTTAACGTCTGTGAGCATCAACTTCATATCCTATACGTGTGTTCAGTTCCGGTGACCCTGAGAGAAAACTCAGAATGGTGAAAAGTTATTCTGAGAAAAACAAAAATGAACTTTTCTGAAGTTAAAATAAGACTCATAGGTGCTATAATGACTAAGTTTCTTTCACTTCTTTTTTCTCAACTCTTCACCCTCACAGGTTCTTAAGGATGTTTGTCCGTCCATTCTGTCACTGGCCCAGAGTTTGTTCCACTCCCCAGACCAGAGTGTAAATTCTTTTGGCAGTCTCCTATACAAATATGCATTTAAGTGTTTTGACACTTACTGCCAGCAGGTATGTTGAAGTGTTTATTTTGGCAAATATTTCTTTAGGGAAAAGGAAACAAGTACAATTGCAGGTGGATTGCATGTCATCTGATGTTAAACGGTTGTTGGCTGGAAGACACTAAGAGGAAAGGACTCTGACCTAAGGTGTGAGAAAGCTGTTGCAGTCCCAGCCTCAATAAAACAGAGAGCAACTCTGGCCTGCATGCTAACATTCATTCTCTGAGTCTGTAATTCAGGCCCAGAGCCAGTGCACTTCAAATAAACCATGGCTTAGAGGACTGTGATCATCAGCTGGTTTTGACAGTAGAGGAATGTCAGTTTTACAGTTGAGCTGTGAATGACTAACTTCCAATTGAACCTGGAATTCTCTGGAAAAGTGTAAGGTGGGAAACAGAGTACGGAGAAATGCCTGAGGGCTTATTCTTAGAGTTTCCCCCTAATTCCTATGAACATGAGGCACAACATTTAATAGCACATATCCAGAGAACGGTGCCTGTGGAAAGTTGACTATGAAGATTCATACAGAATAAAGTGTCTTGTTTAGTTTTTATTAACAGTGGTAAGACACACCTGAATGGAACTTAAAGTGAAGACAGAATTTTACAAAGTTAAAGCAGAGCGATAGATGCCGCTGGCATGAGCTAAACCATAGGCCTCTTGATGGACAGCAGTGTGAAGGAAATGGAAATGGTGTCTAAGACATTTTGAGTGCTCTTAATGTCTTAGAGAGTCCTGGTGTAGTGCTGAAGAATAAACACTGAACTGTTAGCTGCAAGGTCAGCGGTTCAAACTCACCAGCCACTCTCAGAAACTCTAGCAGGGTTGCTACAAGTTGAACCAACTCGACAGCACACAGCTACAACAATGTCTCAGAGGCACTCTCATGACCCACGTGTGCTTGGAAACACTATACAAAGAAAACGTGCCATAATTTCAAAATAATTTCAACTTCAACTGAAAGACTAAAATTTAACCTAGATAGGAAAAAGAAAGAGGACAAGTATGCCAAGGAACAAAGTTAGAAGAGCTTAGCTAGTGCTCACTGGTAAGTTATGGGAAAGAAGTGGCAAGCCTCTTGAAGGCAACATACTGAAAACTAGGTAGTAGAATTAGGTGATGAGATAGGTGGGTTGTAATTTTAACAAAGTAGAAGTTTGAATGGCCTTAGACTTGTACCTCTTAGATGGCTAAAGCGTAGTGTTGCTTCGCACTGTCCTATTGCTTCTTTCCTCTATAGGAAGTGGTCAGTGCCCTGGTGACCCATACCTGCAGTGGGAATGACAGTGAAGTTGATGCTGCATTGGATGTCCTTCTAGAGTTGGCCATTCTAAACCTAGCTGCTATGAGGCTGAATGCTGTCTTTGTGAAGGTAACTCTTCTTTCCACTGACACACAGTGCATTTTCCCCCTTTGCATCAGCGATACCTGATATCTGCTAGCAATCATTTATTTTGCTCTCTTTACATATCGAGTTGTTATAATTGGTGAGGGGTAGGAAGGAGGTCAGGTAATGGGCAAGCAGTATACAAAATAACTCATTGAACTGTGAACCACAAGGTCAGTGGTTTGAGCCTATACGGGGTAGCTATGAGTCAGGACTGACTTGGCAGTACTTAACAATAGCAGTCTGAAGTCATTCAGCCAGAGCTGCTATATACTTAACTCCATGCCTGGCTTTATGCTGAGTGCTGTGGCTATGACAGCCTTTTTCTTGCTTTTGATGATAGAGAGTAAGACACATAAGCAAGTCCCATAACAACAACAACTGATGAGCTGTCTAATAAGAATGTGCTGCAGGAATAACTATTCTGCCTAGGAAGCTGGAGGGGTCTTTTAAGAGGAGATAGCGTTTGAGTGATTTTTGAGGGGTGGAAATGGTTTGACTGGAGAAAGCAGAGGAAATGCTACATTCTAGGTAGAGGACAGTTTGGACAGAAGCCTGAGAGCTGGCAAGCAGACTAGCAGGGCTGGAAAACTGGATCTAAAGACAAGGGGGTGGAGGTCGGGAGGCAGACAGGGTCAGAATGGGAAACCTCTCAAATACGATTCTAAAGATTTTGAGCTTGATTTTTTTTTTTTTTTTAATATTTTGTGTTTTAGATGAATGTTTATAGAAAATTCGATTCCCATTCAACAATTCATCTGCACATTGTTCAGTGACATTGGTTACAATCCCATAATGTGTCAGCACTCTCACCATGTCCACCCCGCCTTCCCCGTTCAGGATCCCTGGCGAAGAATGGGTTTCTCATTTCTGTCACTCCAGTGTCCCTGCCCCTCCTTGCCTTCTCATCTTTGCTTTTGGGCGAATGGTGACTGTTTCGTGTCGGTGTCGAACAGTTGATTATTCTAAGGAGCAGACTCCTCATGGGCGTTATTGTTTATTTTATAGTCCAGTCTGTTGTTTGGCTGAAAGGTGACTTTTGAAATAGTTGCAGTTCAGATTAAAAGGTATTTCAGAGTGTTAGGCTCATGGCTTGTTCCAGTCTCTGTCAATCACTTTTTTATGAATTTGAGTTTTGTTTTTCATTTGCTTCCTATTCTAACCAGGACCTTCTGTTGTGCTGCTGATTGAGTTTGATTTTATACAGGTTCTTAACAGGGACTGAAATAATCAAGTCTGGATTTTGAAAGAACTCTGTAGCCATATGATGGATAGATTGGAAACCACTGAAATGGTTCAAGGGAGTAAGAGTAAGGACCTCAACTAGTGTCATGGTGGTGGAGAGGAAATGATGGTTTAAGAGATAATTGGGTGTTTTAGTTAATATAGCCTGGTTACAATAAGATCTAGAGGTCCATGCATTGGTTTGATAGACCTGGAGCAATTACTGTCTGTGGTATTGCAGGACAATGCACTGGTCCATAAGGTCAGTTTGAACTGCAAACCGGTCCTAGGAACCCCTATAAGGGTTGCTATGAATTGGAACTGATTTGGCAGCACTTAGTACAACAGCATGGTTTCCACTATAGATGCAAGGAAGAAACTCCTCATGCTTCCTGTCTGTGTGCTTGTAGCAGCCAAGACTGAATAAGAATACAGGAGTTACTATAACAGGAGAGGGGAGAGAAGTCAGAAATAACCTTGTAAATGATTCCATACACACACACAAAGAGATATAGAGACCATCTTGGGAAACCAACTGAAAGGCCAGCTTATTTACTGAGCTAAGGAGACTAGAAGGGTAGGAAGAAATACAGTGAGTTTAGTTTGGGATGTACAAGTGTGAATGGTTAGTACATAGTTAGATCATCAGTTTTGGAATCTACTGGCACAGTGGATTTAGTGTGAACTCAAGTGAGCCAGATTTTGAGACAGAAAAGCATAGAAGCTTTCAAAAGCACAGAAGTTCTATGAATGTTAAGACGTCAGGGGCAGGCTAGAGCAAAGTGTCTGTGGAAAGAAAATGAGAAGGTGAAAAATGTGAACTGGAAGTGTTTTGTATAGCTGATGCCCAGAAAAGAGTGAGTTTCAAGAATGAGGGATTTATATACAGTGTTGAAATCTGTAGAGGATGAAGGTGGAGAAGAGGCCAATGACTTTGGCGATTAGTATGCTAATCGCCAAAGAATACAGTTGGAAGCCAGAGAGCAGTAGCATGAAGGAGTAAAGATTGGATATAGACTTATTGCCAAGAAACCAGTATCTTGATGGCTAAGTTGGTTGGAAGGAAGATATGGGGAGGTTTTAAATTCTATGAGGGTAAGTAAAAAAGTATTGCTGCTAGTGTTTCACTTTGTCCATGCACAAGTTTACTCCAAGTAAATCACGTCTCTGTGATCAGTGGACAGCTGCACTCAAGTTCTCCCAGAAATATACTTGTCTTAGTCTCACAAGAGTGCCTTCACAAAGCAGTTCAATCAGAACAGTGACTTCTTAGGGGATCGGCTGGACCCATTAAATTCAAGGCGAAGAAGCCAGCTCAAAAGATTATAGAGACTATTTGGGGGGCATTCCAAATCTTGATAGATTTCCTCAAAGGACACAGGGTGACTACAGAGACATCTTATGGGGACGTTTTAAGAAAATTGAAAATTGCACTAGTGTGCAAAAGGCCAGGAGAGTTGCACTGGGGAGGTTTTTTCCTATCACCACATTGTACCTGCTTATTTTTTGAGGGTAGTAAGGGCTGTCAGAATTTCATTGGCAAACTTTACCCCATCCACCTTACAGCCCTGATCTTACCCCTTCAGACTTCTTTCTGTTCCCAAAACTCAAACAGCATTGAAAAGGAGCACTATGTGAATCTCTTCAGGAGCTAAAACTACTGCTTTGACATAACAATTGAAGAGCACAGACTTCTTCAGGGCAAGTATTTGAGATTGAAACATCATCTGCAGAAGTGGATAGACCTAGATGGACCATATGTTGAGAAATAGTAACTTTACATTTTGATACTTTTGTTTAATCAAGGTTTCTATGATTTTATAGCAATACTTTTTAACTTACCCTGATATGTGGGCTGAGAAGAAATGAAAAATTTTTTAAATTAATTTAGTAATCATTTGAAAATTTATTTTATGTACCTTACTTCATCCTTTGACCAACTTTGAGATGTAGTTTTAGCTATTATTAAGGAGCCTTGGTGACACAGTGCATTAAGTGTTGAGCTGCTCACCACAAGGTCAGCAGTTCCAACCCACCAGCCAACCTACAGAAGAAAGGAAGCAGTCTGATCCCATTTACAGTCTTAGAACTCTATAGGGCAGTTTTGCTCTGTTATATAAGGTCTCTATGAATTGAAATAATCTTGACAGTGAGTTACAACTATTATTGTCTCCATAGTAGAAATGAGAAAGCTAATAAGGTGCAGAGAAATTAAATACGTTGCTTAAGGTCAAAAATCACCTCCTTGTGACTCCAAATCTGTAGAGAAAGATGTCTGTAACATCAGTCCTCAGTGCCCTGAGTAGAGCATTAGGGAATTTGAGCTTTTGAGGAACAGAGGCCTGACTCTCTCTCTCTCTCTCTTTCTCTCTCTCTCTCTCTTTGTGTGTGTGTGCCTTACAAAGATTTTAATGTTTTGATTTGCAGGAATAAAATAATGTTAATTCCTAACCTCATTGTTGGCATTTTTTCTCACAGGGCATTCTAGATTATTTGGATAATTTGTCTCCTCAACAAATACGCAAACTTTTCTATGTTCTCAGCACGCTGGCATTTAGCAAAGAGCAGGAAGCCAGCACTCACATCCAGGTAAGAGGATAACTTTTGAGTAGCTTTTTAAACCTCTTAGCTTGAAACTTGGTGGATAAAGATTACACCAGTCCTAGCAGTTGTTCATTGTTTTCTTACCGCAATCATTTATTAAGTGCTTATTGTGTGCCAGACCTGAGATACTTAGGTATGTTAGACTATTTCTGCGCTTAAGGAGTACAGCTAATTAGACAGGGATGGGTTTGTAAACAATTAACCATGAACCTGAGTAAGAAAACCCAGTCCTGAGGGCTGTGGGGACGCTGAGAATTCCCTTGTTTCCAGAGGAACATTCACATCTAACATGAGCTTCATCTGGACTTGCTCTCATTTGTGAACACTCTCCACTGATAAAGCCAGACTAAGGGACTGAAATAAAAGAATAGCTTAGGTTAGAATCATGCCTCATAGTCTTTTGGTATCATTAGTGCTACCTCATGCAGTAATCTATACTAGTCACTGCCACTTTGTACAACCTTTTTTGCCCCCCTTCTTTCTCTGTGACTTTCTATGGCTCTCTTGATTTTGTGTTTTTAATTGTGACTATATCCAAGGGGACTTGGGAATAACTCTTGTCTTGTCAAGATTTATTCACATTCTGTGAAGGAACTGCTAGAGCTAAAGCCGACTGCAGAGCAGATCATCTGAAAAGCTGGGTTATATGAAGAAAAACATGGCATCAGGATTGGAGGAAGACTCATTAACAACCTATGATATGCAAATGATACAACCTTACTTGCTGAATGTGAAGAGGACTTAAAATATGTACTGATGAAGATTAAAGAGCACAGCCTTCGGTATGGATTGCATCTCAATGTAAAGAAAACAAAAATCCTCACCACTGGACCAGTAGACAACAATTGTATCAACGGAGAAAAGATTGAAGTTGTCAGTGACTTCGTTCTTCTTGGATCAACTATCAACACTCACAGAAGCAGCAGTCAAGAGATCAAATGATGTATTGTATTAGGCAAATCTGCTGCATAAGACCTTGTTAAAGTGTTGAAGAGTGAAGATGTCAGCTTCAGGATTAAGGTGCGCCTGACCCAAGCCATGGTATTTTCAATAACCTCATATGCATGCGAAAGCTATACAGTGAATAAGGAAGACCATAGAAGAATTGATGCTTTTGAGTTACAGTGTTGGAGGAGAATATTGAAAGTGCCATGGGCTGCCAAAAGAACCAACAGATCTGTGTTGGATGAAGGGCAGCCAGAGTGCTCCTTGGAGGACAGGATGGCCAAACTTCATCTCTCATACTTCAGACATATTATCAGGAGGGACCAGTCTCTAGAGAAGGATATCATGTTTGGTCAGGTTCAGAGAAAATGAGGAAGACCCCCCAGCAAGATGGATTGGCAAAGTGGCAGCATCAATGGGCTCAAGCGTGGCAACAATTGTGAGGTTCCGGGTAATGTTTTGTTCTATTGTGTATGGGGTCTCTATGAGTCGGTACCCACTCGATGGCACCTAACAACAACAACACTATGTGCTGCACACTGTGCTGGCAATTCTTATGTACTTTGTCTCTAATTCTCACAACAATAGTCCCATTTTGTAGAAGAGGAAATTGATACTCAGATGAAATGACTTGCCTAGTCCTATTGTAAGGAGCACTGGCGGCGTAGTGGTTACGAATTGGGCTGTGAACTTCAAGGTCAGCAGATCGAAACTACCAGCTGTTCCGCCGGAGAAAGATGAGGCTTTCTGCTCCCGTAAAGATTTACAGCCTCGGAAACCCTATGCCGGGTCACTGTGAGTCAGAAATAACTCCACGGCACATAACCACCACCAATGCTGCTAGAGCAGAAAGAAACAGGTGGGTGCTTTAATAAACACATTTACTCTCTCACAGTTTAGGAGGCAGGAAGTTCAAATTCAAGACACCAGCTCTAGGGAAAGGCTTTTTCTTCAGTTCTAGGGGCAAATTCTTCAACATCAGTGGGCCCACTTTTCCATGTGTCTCAATCTTGCCCTGGGTTTAGGAGGTTCTCAGTACAGGGTTCCTAGGTCCAAAAGACGTGCTCTGCTCCTGCTCTTCTTTCTTGGAGATAATGGGGTCCATCTGATCTCTCCTCACTTGTTGAATCCCTTTTATATCTCAAAAGAGATTGACTCAAGATACAACCTAATGTTATAGGTTGCATGTTGCCTCATTAACATAACTGTCTCTAATCTTGTTTCATTAACATCATAGAGGTGAGAGTTTACAACTCCTGGAATAATTTTATCAGATACAATATGGAGCATAAGTATATAATTATATCATTCCCTCTCTGTTTGTTATGCTGTGGTGGCTTGCATATTTCTGTGGTGCAGGACGCTATGCCACCAGTATTTCATCTATACCATCAGGGTCACTCACAGCAAACAGGTTTCAGCAGAGTTTACCAAGTAAGAACAGGCTAGGAAGAAGGAATAGGCAGTTCATTTCTGAGGGACTAGCCACTGAAAACCTTATGAACAGTCAAGGAACATTGTCTAATATAGTGCCAGAAGATGAGCCCCTCTGTTGGAAGGAACTCAGTATTCACATGGGGAAGAGCTGCCTCCTCAGAGTAGACTCAACCTTATTGACAAGAATGGAGCAAAGGCTTTTAGAAGGGCTTTCATTTGCTGATGAGGCACAACTCAAAATGAGAAGAAACAGCTGCAAATATCTATTAATAATTTGTGTGTGGAATGTAAGAAGTGTGAGTTCAAGAAGATCAGAAGTTATCAAAAACTAAATGGAACGCAGAAAGATTGATATTTTAGACTTTATTGATGTGAAATTGACTGGTATTGGCCAATTTGAATTGGACAGTCACTTGGCTTACTATGCCAGGAATGACAAATACAAGAGGAATGGTGTTGTGTTCATCATCAAAAGGAACATTTGAAGATTTATCTTGAAGTACAGTACTGTCTATGATAAGATACTATCCCTATGCCTATAAGGAAACCACTTTATAAAACTGCTAATCAAATGTACACAACAAGCATCAAAGCCAAAGATGATGAAACTGAAGAATTCTGCCAATATCTTGGGAGTCCTGGTATGGTGCTGTAAGATGAGCACCATCCTGTTACCCTAAAGACCAGCAGTTAAAACCCACCCACTGCTCATTGGAAATACTATACAGGCTCGCTATGAGTCAGAACCAACTCAGTAGCACAACAACTACAACAATCAAACAACCAATGTCTTCAAACATGCAATCAATATACATTGATAATTAATTACTGGTGATTGGAATGTGAAAGTTGGAAATAAAGAGGAAGGATCCATAGTTGGAAAATATGGCCCTGGTGATAGAAATGGCACTAGAGATCACATGATGAATATTGCAGGACAACTTCTTCATAGCAAATACCTTTTCAACAATATACATGGTGCCTATACATATAGACCTCGCCTGATGAATTGACTATATCAATACTCAAGAATTTACTACATCTGTGTGAAGAAACAATGGAGAAGCTCAGTATCAGCAGCCAAAACAAGGCCAGGGACCAACTGGAATAGAAGAACATCAACTGCAGATATGCAAGTTCAGGCTGAAACTGAACACAATTAAAATAAGTCCATGAGAGCCTGAATATGACCTTGAATACATCCCACCTGAATTTAGAGATCAGGTTTGATGCATTGAACACTAATGATTGAAGACCAGAGAAGTTGTGGGATGACATCAAGAGCATCATACACAAAGAAAGCAAAAGATCAATAGACAGGAAAGAAAGAAAAGACCGAAGTGAAGGGCAGAAGAGATGCTGAAACTTGCTCTGTCTTCACTTCTTCATCAGAGGTGAGTCTTCATCCTCGAAGGACCGCTTTTAGGTGAACGAACAGGTGAAAGTCTGATGGAGAAAGATCAGGACTATCAGAAGAATGCTTTAACACCTCAAAACGAAGGTTTTGCAGAGTGTCAACAGTGTATCAACAGAGGTGTGGGGCCGTGCATTGTCATGCAAGATCACAATGCCCTTGGATCGCAGTCCTCTGTGTTTAATCCAAAGTTTAGGCTTCAGCGTGTGAGCTTTTCACTGTAACAAGCACTGTTGGTTATTGAACCTTTTTCCTGATAGTGTTCCAATACTGACCCTTGAGAATCTCAGAACACAGTAAGTATTAGTTCCAGCTGATGGCTGACTTTTGAACTTTTTCTTAGTCAGTTATTAGGATGCTTCCATTTCACACTCTGCTTGTAGTGATGAACCCAGGTCTCATCTCCAATAAAAAAATTTTTTTAAAGAAACTTTTACCTTCCTTCAAGTATTGGTCCAAATTTTGTTTGCAGATATCCAGACGCTTTTGCCTATACTCTGTGTGTTATTTCGTAACCCATCTTGCACAAACTTCTTGAAATCCAAGTCTGACAGGATCATTTCATGCGCATGCTCAATGTATTCATCAGTCTTGGATGTGGACATGTGTTTTAGTACAATCAGAGTGTGTATAATTTTTGACTCAACCTCACATAATCTCTATGCTGAGTAAATAATACAATAAACTGGACTTTTTGAAGAAGATTGGGGCATCAGGATTAGAGAAAGGCTCATTTTCAACATACCATAGGCAGATGCCACAACTTTGCTTGCTGAAAGTGAAGAGAACTTAAAGCACTTGCTGATAAAGATCAAAGAATGTAGCCTTCATTGTTGATTACAACTTGATAGATCAATTTACAACATCATGATAAAGAAAAGGTTGAAGTTGTCAAGGATTTCATTTTACTAGGATCCACCATCAGCGGTGATGAAGCAGCAGTCAAGAAGTTAAATGAAGCCACAAATATATAACGATTTGACAGAGGATATTTGTGCATAGGTATTTACCTTACAAACAAACCTTGAAGATCAAAGACAACAGCTTTCGGTATGGATTGCACTTCAGTGTAAAGAAAACAAAAATCCTCACGACTGGACAAATAAAAAATTGAAGTTGCCATAGACTTTGTTTTGCTGAATCTCCAATCGATACTTACGGAAGCAGCAGTCAAAAAAATTCAAAATAATACATTAGGAAAATCTGCTGCACAAGACCTTGTTAGAGTGTTCAAGAGCACTTTGAGGACTAAGGTGTACCTGATCCAATCATTGTATTTTCAGTAGCCTCATAAACATTTAAGTTATGGTGTTGGAAGAGAATATTGTAATATCATGGACTGTCAGAACAAACAAATCTGTGTTGGAAGAAGTACAACCATAATGTTCCTTAGAAGCAGGATAGAGAGACTGCCTCTCATACTTCGGACATGTTATCAGGAGGGACCAGTCCCTGGAGAAGGACATCATGCTAGATAAAGTGGAGGACAAATGGAAATGAGAAAGACCTCCAGTGAGTTGGAGTTACACAGTTGCAGTAGCAATGAGCATAACCTCATGTTGGGTAAAGGGTCAGCAAAAAAAGAGGAAGACCTCTAATGAGATGGATTAATGCAGTGGCTGCCACAGTGGGCTCAAACTTAAGAAATTGTGAGGATGGTGCAAGACTGGGCAGTGATTCCTTCAGTTGTGCATAGTGTTGGAGTCAACGACACCTGTCAACAACAACAGATTGTTATGCTAACAATCACAGATTGCCAAGCTGATGCACACTTTGGGGAGACACAGTGGAATCTGTAACACTTACCAAGTTAAAGTTAGTAAATGATAGACCCCTTCCTCTCCCAGTATCTATAGACTTTTACCATGTCACTCCATCCTCTTCATGTTTCTCCATTGTTGTCTTGTTGCAGGATGACTTGCACCTGGTGATACGAAAGCAGCTCTCTAGCACAATATTAAAGTACAAACTTATTGGGATTATTGGTGCTGTCACCATGGCTGGCATCATGGCGGCAGACAGGTAAGCATGGAGATTCTGACTTCTATAGCTCTAGGTCAGATGATCAAGTCACCACCTCAAAAACACAGCATTACACTGCACTGATGGCACTATAACAGTACACTTCACAGTCGTAGTAAGAGAAACGAGCAAATATGTGTTACACTTTTCCATGCTCCCTTCTCATATTGACTCTATACCAGGTATCGTTTCTACAGAATTGGTAACGTTGTCATTACTGTTTCATGGGTAGAAACGAGGGATTATCACGAAATGACGTTCCAGAACTGTTTCCACAAAAGGGTCCTCCTGGTTCTTCTGCATCTTTCATCCTAGTCACTGGACACTGCAGGTTTCTCTTGTTTGTCATGTCTAGGACATCATGTGTGGTACAGAAAAGTCTCCCTTATATTTTTACTTTAATTGTGGTGAAACTATACATATCAAAATTTCCCCCATCCCTTGATGCTACAACTGCAGCATTTAGAAAAGTATCAGATTTGGGGCTTGATAAAATGTTGCTATTGCAAAATGACATTGGGATTCAAGTCACACTCCCTGAAAATGATTTGTCAGGAGCACCTGAGATCTCAGGGGACATTTTTCAAATCAGAATTAATCATCCATAGAGGCTGGTTAAGAGCTCATTCTCTGAAGCCGTATTGCAGTGTCCAGTCAAATCCTGCCTCCAGTATTTTATTCACTGAATAACCTTGGGCAAGTTACTTTACTTTCAAGCCTTTAAGGTCTCAGATCTAAAAAGAAGGTAATAATAGTGATTATTTCATGAGAGTTGATAGCATTAAATGCTTAGAACAATGCCTGTTGTTATTAAATGCCCTTGAGTCAGGTCTGACTCATAGTGACCCTATATAGGGTTTCCAAGGCTGAAAATCTTTGCAGGAGCAGAAAGTCTTATTGTTCTCCCATTGAGCAACTGGTGGATTCTAACTGCCGACCTTGTGGTTTGCAGTCCAGTGCTTATCCTTAATAGTAATGTACTTTTTCAGTGATTTAAACATGCTTTCTTCTTTACCTTTAACATGCAAATGCCCAGAATGCAGAAAATAATTTTCTTATTGCTTACATTGATGGAAGACCTTACACTATCCAATTTCATTTTCGTGATGTGGAAAAGTTTAATCAATCCCACCTGAATATCCACTGATTTCTAAATATTCATTTCCTCAAGGCAATGTCCAAAAAAAAAAATCTCCTGAGGTTTCACTGCCTTCCATAGAGTAAATCCATGACATGATGTTTGTCACTGGCACCTCAAGTATACTATGGGTGGGAGAACCTTCAAATCTCCCTTATCTTGTTTAAAATCTTCTTCATAAAAACTAGCAAGAGAATTGGGTGTTATATTTATCTCATTGGCTCTTTTGATGATTTTATCATCCACATCTATGATTCTTATCACCATGTGTTATTTTGCATCTCAAAACCTTGGTTAGACTTTTTTGAATTATATAAAATTTAACATATGTACTTGCTATTATGATTATTAATGATTTAATATCATCTTCAAAATAAGCTACACTAGTCCTCATTTGTTTTGCAATACATTTTGTGTGGCTTAAATAAACACTCCTTTGTGCCATCTCCATCTGTCCCCCACCACCTCTCCCCCTGCCATACCTCCTTCAGGGAGGCAGAGCAAGGCATGATACATACACTTACTGTTGGTTATTGCAAAGTATTGCAAAAGTGAAATGAAAATTCTTTGTTTTTTGAAGTGAATCTTCCAGTGTGACACAAAGGAAAGCTGATCTAAGCAATGAGGTGTGCACACAGGTGAGCTTTTGCAACTTGAGTTTTTATGATACAGGTGGGTACATTTATGATGTAGGTGGGCACATTCATAATATAGATGGACACATTTATGAATAGCTGAGGGATTTCTTATCACAGTTCACCAGAAAGAGTCCTACTTTTAAAAAAAAGCAAAACCTTTTCTGAACTCCTAGTTTTTGTGGTTTGTGCCACTCTTTGCACTCAGAAATCTGTTGGCTTGGATTGTGTTTATTTCTGTATCTATCTAATCTTCCCAATTAATGTCTAAGTGCCTGCAGAGCAAGAGGGGTGGGCCCTGTTTAGAGAGTAGCAGGTTGGCTGGATCACAGGGCAAGTAAATTTGTAATTGAGATAAGCTAATTTGGAGATAGAAAACAAAGGGCCTTGAATGTCAAGCATGACATTTTGATTTAATTCTTGATGCAGAGATAGTTGTTAAGGGTTTCTCAGCATGGAAATGCAACAAATGGCCTATCAAAGCTTTGCTTTAGACCAATTAGTTTAGCTGCATGTGTTGACGGCCTGAGAAAGGGATGAGATTGGAAAGAAATAGACTGGTTAAGAGACTAAGAAAAACCTTAGGTGAAAAGTAAAAGAGCATTGCTCATTGCTGGTGAACTTGGAAAGAGGAAAACTGAGAAGTGAATGGGGTAAATGGAGTTGTGGAAAGTTGACAGGCCAAAGATTGAAGCACGTTTTCTCTTCGGCTGCTGCAGGTGACCACCTTGCTGCAGTTGGTTCACTCCTGCAGTGAGCAGTCTCCTCAGGCTTCGGCACTGTATTACGATGAATTTGCCAACCTGATCCAAGGAGGAAAGCTGGCGCCAAAAGCCCTGGTAAGTCGAGTCTTCTTAGAAAGCCCTGAAGCCTAAGGAAGGGCTCCTTTGCCGCTCTCTTCAAGCCTTCTCTCTGCTGTCCTGTAGAAATGGAGGGGTTGCTGCAGATTGAATTGTAAACCCTCACCTCTGTGCCTGTGGTTATAATCCTATTTGGGTTTTCCTTGTTATGTAAGTGAGGCCGAATGCGTGTTAAATTCATTGTCTGCAAAATATAAAAGAAGGGTATTAGGTCAGCAGAAATGGGGAAGATGGATGCCAAGCCACCTGGAGATCTCCACGGAACTAGGAAACTGGCTGAAGAGACAAGGAGCTTTCCACAGAGACAGCTTGCCCATAGAGTCAGTGCCCTGAGTTCAGACTTCTAGCCCCCTTAAGTGGGAAAGAATCCATTTCTATGCATTAAGGCCATCTGCTGGTGGTATTTCTGTTAGAGCAACACTAGATAACTAAAATGATGTTGCTAAGTGCCGTGGAGTTGGTTCTGATTCTCAGTGACCCTGTATAGTGCTTGCGAGTAGTGGCGGGTGGGTAAGAACTGCTGACTTTGCAGTTAGCGTTCAGTGCTGATCCTGCAGTGCCAGACCGGGACTCCTCGTAACTCAGACAGGGGCCAGCATATAAGCACTTCCACATTCTAGTTGGGAATGCTGTTCAACCCCAGGGCTCTTCTCTAAGGCCTCTGTCACTTAATAACAATAGTAATAGTAATGAAAAGGATGGTGGTGATGATGTTGTGGAGAACCACCATCTGTTTGAGAACCTATTCTATATCAGACATTGTGGAAAGCCCTTGTCATACATTATCTTATTTCCACTTCATAATAAGGAGCTTTGTATTCTCATTATTTCCTTTTTTAGGAATGAGGACACTAAGGTTTGACGTTGTATACCATCGAGTCAGTTCCGACTCATAATGACACTGCATAGGGTTTCCGAGAGCAGCTGGTGGGTTTGAACTGCTGACCTTGCAGTTAGCAATCCAGTATTTATCTGACAGTGTCACACCAGGATTTAGAAATGTCAAAAGCAGTTTTTCTAGGACCCCACCGCAAGTACACCTTGGCTGTACTGCCTTGTTTGTTTGTTTGCTTTCTGAAGGAATGGGCTGGACAGGCCATCCTTACCAATTTCCAAGATGCCTTTGTGGTGGACAGCTGTGTTGTTCCAGAAGGGTAAGTACCGTCTACCCACTGACTGCATTGTACTTGTGAACAACTTAGCCCCTGATAGCAGTAGTTGGTATAGACTTCAGAAGGCCCTTGGCAACAGCCAAGTCTAGCCCAGTCCGTCCTTGACACATTTGCATCCCTAGCTCCAAGGTTGCTCGAAGGTTCTCAATTGTTCTTTCAAGCTCTGCTCCTTATTTCTCACCATAATAAGTGAAATTGGTCTGTTCTGGGTTTCCCATTAGCCTTGCTGGGCCCTGGGTTGGGGCCTCAGATTCTGGGTTCTCTCTACAGTGACTATCCATTTCCTGTGAAAGCGCTCTATGGACTGGAAGAATACAGTAGTCAGGATGGGATTGCCGTCAACCTGCTGCCATTGTTCTTCTCTCAGGACTTTACAAAAGACGGGAGTAGAGTGACTCAGCATGAATCAGACCAAAAGTCAGTACTGCTTTTTTCTAAAACCTCCCTTACTGTGTTGGGTGTTCACAGGGATTTGTGCAGTTACTTGCATCTGTGAGGAACTTGAGTGAAAGGGTTTTCTTCCTGGACAGATGGTACTTGGAGAGGTCAGGGAGAATGAAGAAGATTCTGTTTGGAGCCTGGGGTTGGGATTTGTATTGCCTCATGACAGCCAAATGAGACATTTTCTTTATCCATTTGCTTTCTATCAAACCTTCTTCCCATTGTGGACAGCCTTGACTACCTGTCATCTCTCTTTCCATCTTTGCTTTACTTCTCCCAGCATGTGGACATTCCCCACCTGCCCTCTGACTCCCTGCAATTTAGGTCCTGGTGTATTTGCTGAGCATCCATTCCATACCCTGCCAGATGTTCTTCAAAATAGATTTTGGCCAGATCTCCCTAATTATGAGGGCTGGCCCCCCGTGAGTATGAACTGATAGATCTATAAAGATTTTTCCTTCCTAGATTGGTATCTCCATTGTGCCTGGCTTCCTACTTCCGGTTACTAAGACTGTGCATGGAGAAACAGCATGATGGGAACCTAGAGGAGATTGACGCTTTGCTAGGTAAAGGATGAAGCCATTGTAGCCTCCCTTCTTTGTAACCTTTCTTTGAGAAACCTAGGGAAAGAGCAGAACTGATCCCTGTTGGAAGGAGTTTGCTCATTGCACAAAGAATAGTATGGCAGCTGTAATGGAATTGCAAAGCCAAAATAGATGTACCCAACCCCATCATGTTAGAAATTAGTGGTTTTCGTAATCTCATGGTGCCTTCTGGTCCTTGCCTTTATAGCTGTTGCAGAAGTGCCTTAATTATGTTTGTGACTGCTGTATAAATATGGAAATATGTTTCTGACTAAGTAGCAAGGAGGGCTAGCTCTGGCGGCCGCCTCTACGGGCTTGCACTTAATGGTTTTTGTCCTTGTCTTTCAGATTGTCCTGTATTCCTCACTGACCTGGAACCAACAGAGAAGCCGGAGTCCATGCCAGTTAGAGAGCAGTCGTTCATGTGCTCGCTCATATTTCTCACTCTCAACTGGTTCCGAGAGGTGAGCAGAGTTACTGGGATGTTTCACCCATTGTTTGTAGCGTCTCTTGAAAAGAAACTATTTTCTTGCTTCCCACAAGACTCCTTGAAATGCTCCACCAGCACCAGCCTCTGGGTGTTTCTCCAGCTGTATGGTCCGAATTACACGTACCTTCTGTTGGGGCCACATCAAAATCTTGAGAGTTCACTTACCTGTGTGCCACTACCTCCAAGCCTTTGCTGCTTGTATCTGGAATCACCTCCACACTTTCTCCATGACGGAAGCACTGCTTGTCCTTGCTTAGGCATGCACACAAGTTTTTATTCAGTGAGATCGAGTAAATGGTAGTCGTTTAATAATGACAGGAAAGACAATTATGTCATCTTCTGTTATAACACACTCTTTTTCAAAGCACTCATGCATATTATTTCAGAGAATATTTGTTCTCAGTTACTCCTCACAATTAATTATGAAGTAGGCAAAACAAGTATTATTAGCCTTGCTTTACACATATGGAATTTCAGGTACAGAGAGTTCAAAGTCATTAAAATTTATCAAGCATGCATATTGCACCAAGTACTTTTTACACTTCAATCCGTACAACCATCACATTCTTACTTTAGGGTTAAAGAAATAAAAGCTTAGAAAGATTAAAGACTTGGCTAAGGCTACTCAGCAAGTAAGTAACAAGATAGGACTCGTTTTAGCAGGGTGTGTACTCTCTAGCCACCTTGCTGTTCTGCCTTGTTACATAACTAGTAGTAAGTACAACTGGAATATATTTCAACCCAGGGAGGACCTCTTTCTCTACGGCACCCTGCCGAAAACAGGGTGTATTACAGACTAAACTCCTGCTGTTGAATGTCATCTTCTTTTAGCTCTGGATGACATATAATTTGTGAGAATATAATTTGTACTTTTGCAGATCGTGAATGCCTTCTGTCAGCAAACGTCACCCGAGATGAAGGGGAAGGTGCTCACCCGATTAAAGCACATCACAGAACTACAGGGAATCCTGGAAAAGTACTTGGCAGGTAAGGGAAATGCCCTGTGCTGGTGGTCCTACTAGGATGGCTGAGCCTACTCATCTGGTTCAAGGGAATGTATGCTGAACAAAGCTACAGGAAAAAAAAAAAAAAAAGAATGCATTTATTTTGCTACCATTGTTACATCCAAGCAATCTTGCTGCTTAAGGAAATTAAAAAATATAAAACATTGGTTGAAATATTATGACATTGCTTTTCTTCTTTGGAGGTCAAACTTTCAGGAACCGTTGCCTTCCTGAGCACAGTCATGAGAAGGAGTAACTATGGAAAGTCGCTTAGTACCCCCTGACCATTAAGTAATCGAATCGTTTTCAAGTACTGATACTTGATTCTGTGGGGAAAAGTGAAGCACCCCTCTCATATACCCTCACCTAAGTAACTATATGTAAATAAACTTAGGTGATTGAATATTGCTAATATCTTTTTATTTTAAATGTGAGTTAGTTTGGATAGGGTATTTTTCATCATTTTGTTTAGAATGGTTTTATATTAGTTGATCATCAGTTAATAAGATCATCTCTATGTTATCTCAGGCCACTTTGCTATGCCAAAACAGTTCATGTCAAGTGACTTGACTGAATCTTCCAGGCATTCAGCCATGCTTGATGATTTTTAAGTACTAGTTTCTAGCCAGTTGGGTTATTGCATTCTAAGGATAGTTGTGGTGTATGGTTGATATAAACGAGGGAGCTTCAAAAAGTTAGTGGAAAGACCTCATTACCTTTTAATTCCATTTTTCACAAGCCTCGTGAATCCCCTTCACATAGAACTTCTGCCTGCTCTCTGTTTCAGTCACCCCAGACTATGTGCCTCCTCTTGCAAACTTTGACTTGGAAACGTTAGATGCAGCACCTCATACCAGTACGGCTATTTCTGCAAAAATTAGACTAACAGGAAAGAAGAGTGAGTACGTTCTTTTCTTCTTATTCTGTGTCTGCACATGAGCTACACTGAATTAACCTAGCAATCCCCATAGCATCAGTAACTGGAGAGATCATGTCACTGAACCCTTCCTTCAGCAGGGTTACAAATAAACTACAATTAGGATTATAAAATTGCCTCTTCTAGAGGTGCCTGGCTTCCACTACCAATGGCTCTGAAAGGGATCAGATTAAAAGATGTAGAGAGAGGGGGAGAAAGCGTGGTACAAAATGCAGATTCTTAAAAAAAAGACCATGGGATCTGGTCAGATAGAGACTGGTGGACCCTCAAGACTATGGTCTTTGGTCCATCTTCAGGTCTGGAACTGATCTCGTCCCCATGGGGGGACACTACCACTAGTGAGGTATACGCTTGGATGGCAGCGGGCTCGGTGGGTGTTACCTCTAGATAGACTTCAGCACTTTTTTTTCCTGAGGGCAGCAGTATTTGGCCAACATGAATGCTGACTCCTTGAGTCTCATTTCTCTTTCTGAAACATAAGGAGGAGCGAAACGAAAGGCAGATGGCAGCAAAACGTCCACCCCTGACACACTTTCAAAGGCGGATACTTTGGAATGCGACCCTACACTGTCTGATAAAAGCCAGCTGGAAAAGGTATTGGGATGAGGAAGGGACCTGGGATCCCTGAGGTAAACAGAGGACTAGCATTATTCACTGCACTTCACACAGGGAGAAATGAGGGACTGGAGAAGGAAATGAACTCAACCTAGGCCTTGGAGTGACCCTCTCATTAGCAAAGTTGGAATTTCTTGAGTATTTTACTCACTTTTTTATACTCCTTTGAATTCTCTCTTGTAGCAATTATTGAATTCTGCCTTTGACAGGTTCTTATTTATGCTTGATTTAGTCTCTTGTCCATTTCAATATTAGATTATCATTTTCTCAATAAATCAAGATAATGTGAAATTCTCAGCACAATTTCTGGTATTTGTTAAACAGTACTTATTTTTCCTGGAACTGTGTATTGCTCCCAGGATAGGTTTTGTATGTTTGTAAATTTGCCTGCACCACACCGATTGTAATTATTTCTGTTCTTTAGTTGCCATTTATTGAATGTTTAATATGTGCTGTTCCTATAATCCCTCTAAAAACCCAAGGTTAGTATTGATACCCACATTTAAAAGATGAGGAAAAAAATAAAACATGAGAACAATAAAAAAAAGTAGTAAGAAGATATGAGGAAACTGAGATCCAGAAAGAGTAAGTGACTTGTCTAAGGTCACACAGATAATAAGTGCGTAAGCCAAGATTTGAAACGTTGCATCTTTCTGGCTCCTAAGCTCATGGTTTTCTCCACAACTGGCCTAATAATTCATCCCTAAGGAGAAACTAACTCAGGATCTCCATGTGTGACCTGTATCATCTCATTAAATTAAGGGTACTGGTCTTATTTAGCACTGGTAATTTAGCACTTATTTAGTACTGATAATATTGTTGGTGATCTGCTGAGAGTGTAACTTTTTCCAACAACAACAACAAAATGAATGCATATTTGCATTTTAAAATCTTGATTAGAAAGTAGATTTATGTAGAAGACTTGTTCATTCTGTTGGTTGCTGCTGCTTTCCTTCTAGGACTGTACAAGGAAAGAAGAAGAAAAGACATCAGTGTCACTACAGAGTTACCGTGCTTATTTCCGGGAGCTGGACATTGAGGTATTCTCGATTCTGCATTGTGGACTGGTGACCAAGTTCATCTTAGATACTGAAATGCACACAGAGGTAAGTGACTGAACTTAGTCTTCTTCAGAAAGTCCCTCAGTACTATTTTTTTTTTCAAAAAGAACTCTCTGACAAGGAGGCAAGTTGGTACTGGCTTCAAAATCCTATGTATGTGAAGCCATCATCCTGATTGTTTTGATGTTGATAAGCTGTAGGTGTTCATAGTGCGTTAGACGTTATAAGAGATCACATTAACCCTGTGGCCCATATCTTTAGGTTAGTGATCGTAAGCTAGTTACATTACTTTTTTAGAGCAACACTGTTCTCATTTATAAAGGCCAATTCTATTTTCACTTTGTCATGAAATCTATCCAGCATCCAACAAGGAGCCCTGATAGTGTAGTAGATTATGAGCTGGGCTGCTAATTGCAAGGTAGTTCAAATCTACTAGCATCTCCACAAGAGAAAGGTGAGGCTTTCCTCCTGTAAAGATTTCCAGCCTCAGAAACCCTATACAAGGTCACTATGAGTCAGAACCAACTCCATGGCACATCACCACCACCACCACCACCACCCAGCATCCAATAGATCCTTTTTGAGGCCTTATTCTATTTTCCACTAAACTGGACACTGGTGGCTCAGTAATACATACAGTATGATGCTTGCCTTCAAACAGCTCATGATCTAAGAGAGGAAGTAGACACATGTAGCACTATGTGCTATGTTGATGGCCTGAACCAAGTCCCCTTGAAACTGAGAAGAGGATGGTATTTGTAAGGAAGTAGGGGGAGTAAGAAACCTTGGTGGCGCAGTGGTTAAACTGCTCAACTACAAACCAGAAAGTTGGCAGTTTGAAGTCACCAGCTGCTTCTCGGGAGAAAGATACAGCATTCTCCTTCCATGAGATTTACACCTTATGAAACTATGGGGCAACTGTGTTCTGTCCTCTGAGGTTGCTGTGGGTCGGAATCAACTTAATGTCAGTGGTTTTGTTTTTTTTATTATTGATTATGGGAGTAGAGGACATTTTCACAGAAAAAGTGACTTTTGATATGGGATTTCACCAGAGAGTAGAATTTCTCCAGGTGAAATAATTGAGAAACAGCATGAATTATTTTCTGATAGTTTTAAAAAAAAGCTCCTTCAAAATAATAACAGTATCTTTTTTTCCTACTTTTTAAAAAAGCTTTTCTGCATCAGCTTATACTTAGAAATTCTCCATAAATGTATGTTGAGTTAACAGATTAAAGTAAGAGGTCATTTTGGACCCATTCTTCTGTTATAATGTATGTATAGGGTTCTTGACCTGAGTTAATAGTAACCAAATGTTGTTGTTAGGTGCTATTGAGTAGGTCTAATTTGTAGCGACTCTGTATAGGGTTCCCTAAAAGCAACTGGTAGGTTTAAACCGCCAACCTTGTGGTTAGCAGTCCAGTGCTGATCCTACAGCACCACACCAGGATTCCAGCAAAGCATGGAAAGTGTGAAGGGATTTTGTAATGAACTGAAAAGAGAAAAATTTTCTTAATTTTTTATCAAGGAAATGCTTCTGAGGTCCAGTTGGAAAATATGAGGGGTCTTCAAAAAGGTCATGGAAATTTTTCATTGGCTTTAAATTCCATGTACTTTTTTTTTTTTAAGGTTTTTATTATGGATTGAGTGAAAGTTTATAGGGCATATCATTAGTTTCACATTCAACAATTCATATAACTTGTTTCATTACAATGATTATAATTCCCTCTATATACCATCAGTTAAAAGTATTTCTCTCTATCCACTTTGGCTTTTTAAAAAAAAACACAAACAAAAAAACCCACTCAGGCATATGTAATAATTTACATCTCCAAAGGGCACATTCTGCAAGTCTGCTCCTGGCCCCCAGTTCTTAGTCCTCCTCTTCTTAGTTGATGAATCTAGAGTCCTCAGCCACTTCCCTTCTCCATGCCCCCATCTCTGCCTCCATCTCTGGCGCTGCTGCTTCTCTGGATAAGGTCCCGCATTCTGTTTGTGCATTCCTCTCTTGATGGTCCTAGGGTCCTCTGTTTATGGACTGTAAGATTAACCACTCCCCTTTTTTTGTTAGAAAAGTTCTACCTTTACAATTGTGACAGTCCTGATTAGTCATGATAACAGTTATTCACTATTGAATCTTACAAATCTTAAGATTTTCTTTTCACTAGATCCATCTCTTTTCACTAGACCCACCTAGACAGGATGATAGCTATTCAGTGGGAACTCTTTCTTACCCCCATATTTTTAACTAAACTCCCTCTTGAAACCTTGTAAGCCAGGCACTTCATGCCTTTATTGCCCCTTCATTTTAGATCGCCAATGTCTAAGTTGCCTGTCCCTATCTACCCTGTGCACAGAGCAGATAGCATTGATAGTTGATTTCAAGACTCTTTCCCTCTCTGTTGGTATTTAGAGTATCTACCGATCTGAGTATAGGTCAGGTTCATCATGAAGATGTATCTTCTGTTACTGTAGCTGTTCCAGTCTGCTTGTCCTTTCTAGTGGGAATGTCTCACCTCACAAGTTTGTGAATGGGACTCAGGATTCCACCTAAGGTCCTATACTCTGTAAAGGCTTTGCACGAAGCCTGTTTCACTGGGCAAGTTATAGAACCCCTTTTAGGTATTCCAATCAGTTATAGGCTGAAGGCGGGCTTACAAGTTTTCTGTAATCATGTTTCCTAACATTCCTTTCTATCCCACTCAAGTGTCTGTTTTACAACAGTAGGCAAGGGAAACTAATATTCATAGGGCAATCAAGGATTAATATTATTTACCCTCTTCAAGTTATACCTAGATCCCTGTATCCAAGAGCCCTGTTCCAAGGTTGAGTATGCATCACTATTTACCTTTTCCCACTAGGCCATGCAAACCTGTCTCAGTGTTCCCCTATCTATCTTGTTCTTCTGCCTCCTCCCCATTTCTTGTATTGCCCTCCCCAACACTCAAAATAAACCCCCCACCCCAACCCCATTGTGATTACCTTATATTCCATTAGTTCTTCCCTCCATTTAAGACAGTCTATTTTATCCAGCAATCTACCTGAACTTCCCACCTCCTGGATCTCTATGTTTACCTTTTTTCACATTGTAATTGTTTTGATCATAGACTGACCTCCCAGATCCTCTGTTCTTATAATTTTATTCTGTTCT